AGCAGGCGCGCGGAAGGCGGGCTTCGGCCCCCGGGCAGCGAGGAGCCCTAAAAAGAACAAAAGTGTTGAAAGAGAGGGAACTCATCGCACCATCACAGAACGTGCTGAGGTGGAAGGGACCCACAAGGAGCGTCGAGTCCAAGCCTTTGCCCGGCAGAGGATCGACCCCAAGAGTCACACCGTGTGCCTGAACTCTGCCAGCCTTGGTGCTCTGACCACTGCCCTGGGGAGCCTGGTCCAGTGCCAACCACCCTCGGAGGGAAGAACCTTTCCCAAATATCCACCCTAAACCCACGCGACAAAAACCTATTTGCAACCAAAAAAAAAAGTTTCTATTTTCTTCCTTCCCCTTCTCCTTATTTAGTGTTTACACAACAGTACTGCAGTGCCCTACTGGCTCAAAACTGAAATTCTTGAAGTCCTTGCCGTATAGGCTGGATTTTGTCCCTTAGGCAGAGGCTAATCTGCCTGCAGTCCACCAGGACTGCCAGAGCGTGGGGAAGGGATGGAGGCTATCGCAGGGAGGAACAGAGATGCGGAGATATTCCCTGATATTCTACTCTAGAGGCGGCTCAAGAGACAGCCCTGGAGTTGGAAACACTTGCCTTCATCGCTGGACGATCTTGTCCAGATCCAGAGAAAGGATCTTCTCCTCCGGCAAAGCCGCAGCTTCTTGGGAGCTGTGGATTGAGAACCGGTGTCTTGGGGACAGGAGCTGCTGGGCCACCTGCTCCTGGGAATCTTAGACTGCAATGGCCTGGGCTCCCACTCCTACCCGCAGCCTTTTGCTGCCATGTGCATCCTCGGCGAGGAGCGGGCTCTGCTCTTCCCCGCTCTTCCCTCTTCCCCAGGGAGACCTGGCCAGAGGGGCTCCTGTGTGTGGCTCCGGCAGGTCTCCCAGAGGCTCTGGGAGGGATGGAGTCTCTTGCCAGAAGTAACTGAGGTGCCGAGATACTCCATCTCCTGCTCTTGCCATACTGGATCGGGGAAGAGCCCTGGAGTCGGGAACACCTGCTTTTGCCATAGGACACAACCCAGCACGTGTTGCTGCACAGGATCTTGATATGGCACTGGCAGAGTGTCCAGGGAGGCCTGGACTGGGCACCTCATGTCTGGGAGGAATCTTTGTCCGTCTTCAATTTTGGGAGTCGAGTGCAGGGTTCCGAAAAGAAAGAAACAACAGCCTTACCCCAAGGAAAGAAAGCTTGGAAGCTTTGGCTTGGAAGTACAGTTGGTGGGGCAGCTTGGGCACTTCTTGGGCAGCAAGAGCTTTCTGCGGTGGCACCTTTTGTCTGGCAGGAATCTTCATTTGGATTCAATTTTGGGAGTTAGATTGGCAATTGCAGTGCAGGGCAGAAAAAAGGGAACAGCAGCCCTTTCCCTCAGGAAAAAAGTCTGCATCCTCTGGCTTTGAGGTGCAGTTTGTGTGGCAGCCTGAGCACTTCTTGGGCAGCAAGACCTTTCTGTGGTGGCACCTTTTTGTCTGGGAGGAATCTTCAGTTGGATTCAATTTTCCAGGAGTTGGACCGGCCATTGCAGCTCAGGGCTGAAAGAAGGGAACAGCAGCCCTTTCCCCCAGGAAAGAAAGCCTGGAAGCTTTGACTGCTAGGACCAGTTGTTGGTTGTAATAGATTTTTTATTTCTTACTCTCTACTTTGTTTTGATATTGACCTCTGCAATAAGGAACTGGTAATTATCTGACCCGCGGAGGCGCTATAGGTGTTACTGGAGCAATTAAGCTCCTTGTGCAAGGCTTCTTTCAAGTCGTTTAAAGTGCCCCAAGCGGCAATTAACCACTTCACACTAATGAAAGTATTTCCATCAGGTGATGTACTTTCCAAGTGAAAGTTTTGCAGGCTACCAGGAACCTCCCCTGGAGCCCAGTGACTGAACAGAATTGCGGACACCGGCTTTAGCTCTTTGCAGGGCTGTCTTCGTCAGCCTAGGAAAACATTTTAGACTGCTTGCTGGAGTCTTGGGGAACCCCTGGAGAGTCTCCAACAGAAAGCTGGTACATTTTCCCGCCTTGGCAGAGCCAGCCTGCCTGTATACCAGCAGCTTAGCCATTCAACATCGTGTAAAGGTGTGCCCGGTGCCAGGCTGGCCAGTGAGCGCCCACAGGGGGGGATTTAAGGCAGTGCCCAGCGTGGTGGTGAGTCCAGTCAGTGTTGGCCAGGGTCCCCTGCTGGTCCCCACTCCTCGCTCCATCCTGCTTGCCTCTGTCCTGCTCATGTCCCACCTGCTCCGTCTCCTGTCTGTCTTGCATCCAGTCTGTTTCCCCCCTGCTTCTCTCCAGCGGCCCTTCCGTGACTGCCTGAGGCTGACTACACCTGGATCTCTCACTGGGGGTGGTAACCTTTTTGTACTTTCCTTTTCCTTATCTCTCCCTCTTCTTCTCCCCTCCCGCCTCGATTTTACCATTACTTATTGCTACAAAGAAAGCAAATTGTCTGTTTGAGACCTAACATTTGGAGTTTTGTGCCTTAATCTCGCCTTCGAAGTAATCATCTAAAGAACCACATTGCAGCCCCTGACCAATCTGTAAAACCCACCAACTGCACCTGAAACCCAAAGGTTACAGGCTTGCTTTCCTGGGAAAAAGGGCTGTTGCTCTCTTTTTTCAGCCCTGCGCTCCAATGGCCGGTCCCACCTCCCCAAAATTGAATCCAACTGAAGATTCCTGCCAGACAAAAGGTGCCACCACAGAAAGCTCTTGCTACCCACCGAGTGCCCAGGCTGCCCCACCAACTGCACATGAGAGACGGAGGGTAAGGGCTTTCTTTCCAGGGTTGAGGTAGAGTCGTGTGCTTGCAGGAGCCCTGTGCTGGAATTGGCAGTCCTTCCACCTTCCACTATCCCAGGTTGCTCAGAGCTCCATCCAACGTGGCCTTGAACACTTCCAGGGATAGGGCATCCATAAATTCTTGGGGTAACTTGTTTCAGTGCCTCACCACCCTCACAGGGAAGAATTTTTTTCGTAATATCCCATCTAAACCTGCCCTCTCTCAGTTTGAAGCCATTCCCCCTTGTGCTGTCACTACAGGCCCTTGTAAATGCTGATGAAACTTGACTGGATATTTTTACAGCAAAGGATATAATTTTTATTTTCTTAAGGCAGTGACAGGGATGATACCGGGATCAATTACACTTCAGAAATCTGTTGCTTGTATTAGCAGTTAAAAATAACAAACGGTATTTAAACGCATTATTTCTCGTCTGGGGGGTGCTAGAGGGCTGGTTACAGCGCCCACCACCCTCCTCTGAAGCTGTGTTACCTTCCCCACTGGGATGGGAATAAATACTTTTAGCCAATTTGTCTCTCCAGATCAGCCCGGAAGTCTTTAAAAAGGTACTCAAAAGTATTTCCCCATTCCTACTGGTTTTGCAGCCGGTCAGATGTGTGGGGTTTATGTCCCACAGCAAATTAAAAACACCACAGCCATTATGTAAATGTGTATTTGTTTGAGTATTCACCCTGATGGTGTTCAGGCAGTTAGGCTGAGGTACTTTGTGGATTTTTGAAACAGAAATAACATCTTTTAATGGTGTCTGTGACCGGCTGAGGTGCAGGATGTGGCCTCTCTATTTTTAGCATCTGCTGGTACGCCCATCCTGTGAGTGTTAATTTAGGTGATGCAACCTTTTAAGTCTGGAGAACTACTTCCTTCTTCAAAACTTGCTAATTCTCACGAAAGAAATAAAGAGAATTTCATGACAGTGACCTATTTTTCACTGTGAATATCCCAACTATTGGTGAGCATTTACATTAAAATATTTGAAGTTTAATAAATTTTGCAAAATGTCCTGGATGTTGAGGGATGTAGTGATGAACTCAGAATTAGAAAGTGGAGATTGTCTTCTTTTTCTTTGAAGCTCACAGGACTATGAAAAAAAAAGCTTTCTAGAGAAACTTAAATTTTTTTATCTAATTTGTACACATTTCTACAATTAGGACAGCTGTAGGTTCACCCCTGGCAAAATCTCTCTGCTGGTAACCCAGCCACACACTGATTAATCCTTATTTCATGTTCAAGTGACCAGGATATTTTGGTCAGCTGGCGACAGAGCGGTCCAGGTGGTAAAGGAACAAGGACTGAACAGTATGAGCAGCGTTTGCCTTTTTCTCTCCTCCATCCCCCTTTTCTATATATTATACTTTGCCACTTTCTCTGCTCAGCACACAGGAATTTGCTGGATGCATCCATGAATGCAGAACCCACTGGAATCACGACATTTGTTCCAAATGATCCAGCTGGTGCCAGGGAAGCAGAAGTTCTGACTGTGTAACAACCACACTGTGAGGAGGAACAAGACTGAAACCCACTTTCCGTAAAGGGAAGGATTTGAACTGGTGCTGGAGATGTGCAAGGCTCTGTTATTCTCCCTCCTTAAGTTGTTGACAGGACACAGTCCCCTCTCTTACCTGTCATTGAAAGGTCCTTCTAGTTACACTTATGGCAGTGTCACTTTGTACCAACATCAGCCGTGCACTGTAAGGCTGCTGAGGTTTCCAAAATCCACCTTTTTTATTTCTGCTAGTTCTGCTTCGTATCCTTCAAGCCACTACACAAGAACAAAGCTTCAGCAAAGCCTACCTAACATTTCCTTTTGTTTCTGACATCATTAGCCAGCGTAAAACAAACCATTAACAGGCATCCAAAAATATTTCTGGAAGTTTTCACGTGCTCGGTGAGGATTCCAAAGTTTTCTTTGAGGGAGACTCAGGGAGACTCCAGAAGAAGATTTTTGGTCCAGGAAAAAAAAAAATAAATAACGCAGCCGAAGCCCAGGCACCGTTGTATGAAGCAGATTGATTAACCTTAGCGCTGCTGCGTTCCCACTGGAATACACACTGGAATGACACTGGAATGCCGCCGGATTTCCTACTGGCCGCCCGGAAGCGGCTCCTGCCGTGACTCCCAGCGCGGCAGGATCGCCTCCCGCTCCCACCCGGCACATCCAGCCTGGCCTCGCCTCCCCTCGCCCTCCCCGATCCATCCCGGCCCGCCCCGATCCCACGCGATCCTCCCTCCTGCCCGGGTGAGTGCGGGGCCGCGGGACGGGAAGGGGCTGGATGGAGGCGGCGGGAGCCGGGAGGGGGAGCGGGGACACCGCGTGTCCTCGGAGCCGCTGTGCCCGGCGGTATTCCCGCTGTGCCCGGCGCTATTCCCGCTGTGCCCGGCGGTATTCCCGCTGTGCCCGGCGCTATTCCCGCTGTGCCCGGCGGTATTCCCGCTGTGCCCGGCGCTATTCCCGCTGCGCGGTATTCCCGCTGTGCCCGGCGGTATTCCCGCTGCGCCCGGCGCTATTCCCGCCGTGCCCGGCGCTATTCCCGCTGTGCCCGGCGCTATTCCCGCCGCTTCCCAGGGAGCTGCCGTGGTGTGGGAGGGAACAGCCCTGGCGGGGAGCAGCTGCTCCCGTGTGGGGTTCTGCGCTGGGGTTTGTCCTCCAGCCCGGCACGGAAGGAATTGGGGGTGCTGGTGGATGGAAAGTTGGGGCTGAGCTGGCGCTGAGCTCCCAGCCCAGAAATCCGGGCGTATCCTGCATCCCATTCAGCGGGCCGTGGGTGAGGGAGGGGGTTCTGCCCCTCTGCCGCGCTCTGGTGATTCTCCACCTGGAGCGCTGCATCCAGCTCTGGAGCTCCCAGCGTGAGAAGGGCACAGACCTCTTGGATCAAGTCCAGGGAAGGCCAGGAAGATGATGAGAGGGATGGAGCAGCTGCGGAGACAGGCTGGGAGAGTTGGGATGGCTCAATCTGGAGAAGTCTCTGTGGAGACCTCCTTGCAGCCTGTCAGGACTTAAGTGGTGCAAGAAAGATGGAGAGGGACTTTTTATGAGGGCCTGTAGCTGCAGGACAAGGGGCAATGGGTTTAAGCTGAACGGTTTAGGTTTAGACTAAATGTAAGGGAGAATTTTTTTCTGCTGGAGGGTGGTGAGGCATTGGCTCAGGTTGCCCCGAGAAGCTGTGGATGCCCCATCCCTGGCAGTGCTCAAGGCCTGGTTGGATCCTGTTGGATGGGGTTTTGAGCAACTAGATCTTGTGGAAGGTATCCCTGCCCATGGCAGGGGGCTTGGAACAGCTGTAATAACCAGCAGAACGCTACAGAACAGCCCGTGTTGTAAATGAAGCTGCGTTCTATGAATAGTAAATATCTGAATGTAACTTCTTTAAATCAGTGTGAATGAGCTGAGAGGTTGGTACAATGGATTTAGGTCTGGAATTCAAAACTCTTAATCCAGGCTTGGTTGCATTTGTGTTGCTGTCATTTGGGGATGTCAGCTTTAGATCTTGGTGCCTTCAGCAGCATCTTCAGATCTTGCTGTCAGTCAGGGACTGATTTTCAGCCTTTGATTTTGTACGCATTCCCTTGCCTCGTGCTGCAGTTGGGAATGTTCATTCTCTCAGGAAGGGGGTGATGTGAATTCCCTCCTGCAGGGCTGAGGTGACCCTCGGTTACTGCTGAGGGACAGGCTGTGCAGGAGCTGCTGATGAAACACTGCCCAGGAGTTAGTGGGCCAGCAAGGGTGTCCTGCTGCACAGAAGAACTTAGTGCTGCATGTAAATACCAGAACTGGAGTTTAAGTTTCAAAGTACGGGATCTGTGTAAATAAAAGTATCTCAACAAATTGATAGCATTTCCTATCAAATGGGTGTAGGGAGTAGAGCTGTCATTTTTACTTAGAAATTATGGCATCAGCACGTTCAAGCTTCTCAGGTGTTGGCTTTCCAGACTTGCACAGTTACCTACCGTTACTTGATTTTCCCCTTAACTTTCCTGAGAATTTGGCAGCCAAACCATTTGTAGATCAACTTCTTTATTTTGGCATAATGGTACACAATCATACTATCTTGCCTGGGAAAAACAAAGTAAATGACTTCCAATGAAATGAATGGCTTTAAAATGAAATGTCTGTGCTTGTATGAAAGAATTCTTTTTGTTCTACATAAACAAAGTTTGACAGCTCGACAGGACTGAAAGCAGAATCTTGGCCTTTTAGTTCTTAAACTGGTAAATTTTACAAGTTTTAAACTTGTAAATGTAATAATTACAGAACATCAACAGGAAGGCCTAACAATGTTCCCTGTCTTCTGTAAACTGTTAATGCTTTGGAGCAAATAGTGAGGCTCTGAAACCAGAGCTGTTCCCGGGATACTCTGATATCCCACTGGGTAGGGGAAGAGTTGTTGCTCTGGGCCCGTGAGCTCTTGAGGTTGTGTTGCTGGTTGATTGTTTTGGTCCTCTCTCCTCTTGAACAGGAACCATGCCCAAGAAAGATAATAATAAATAAAGAAGGCAAAGTGAATTACATGCAGCTGAAGAAGGATTTTGACCAGAAAAAGGCAACAATACAGTTTCATCAGCCTCAGAGATTTAAGGTGGGATTGTTTCACTGGATATAATTGATGCTGGCTTAATAATGTGGTGTGTTTGAGTTGCACTAGACATGGCTTCATCTCTGTCCCCAGGGGAAGTGGTTGACATTGATGACCTGCTGAAATCTTTACATGAGCTGGATTAAAACACAGTTTATACTTTTGCACTGTCCATCATGTTTCACTGCTCTGCAGTAAGAACAAAATCCGATTCATGCTATAATATGTGTAATAATATATTCTTTTTAAAATTTTGCTCTGTCACATAAAAGTTTGGAAACAAAAACAAATGCACAAAATTGATGATTAGGCATCTGTGCTTAAATTATCCCTTCTGCCCCACTGTTCCCTTGTGCAAACTTTGTGGCTTTTGAGCCACTTCCCTTTAATGGAGGGTAAGGTGTGAAACCATGTGAAATATTTCCAGTGTTCTTGCCAGTGAATTGCACCGTGGAAAGGTACCAGCCCATTTTAGCTGAGTGTTCTCAGTCCTTGAGTTTGAGAAGGAGACAGTGGTGCTGCACAGTTGTGTAAAGGACTTGGATTCTTGGAGGTGCTTTGATTCAGGTAGTCTTGAAGGTGTCAACACAATTGAATTGTGAGGTGGACCCAAATAAGATCCCAAATACAAGCTGAGTCCCAGGTATAGTGTTCCTGGCTGCTTTCAGCTTTAATGGCCAAGCTGCACTTGTGTGGATCTGGTACTTGGCACGTTCTGCTGTTTCCCTTCGGTGCCTTGTCTGTCACATGTGGGGTGTGGATGAGTCAAGTTTGGTTTTGAATATTCCCAAATGATTGGAGTAACTGGTGAAAGGTCTCTAACCTCTGTGTGTTCTCTCTGGTGAGAGAATGCAGGTCCTGCATGTGCTTCTTGTCTTATGGTGTTCTGCTGTTTGTGGGATTATTTTCCTCTGTTCAGCCTTGTCTGTCTGGTTGTGCAGCCTAAAGATGGCACAGGGAAGAGAACAAACCCAGGTTGGGGCACCAGACTTTTTGGCTTAGCAGTGACTCTCCTGGCAGATCCCCTTTGCATCTCCAGTGCTCTCCTTCAGGAGAAACACTGGTACAGAGCACCTTCCTTCCCAGCCTCTGTGTCCCTGATGTGATCATTCTTCCCAAGCCATGGGGAGGATGTGGGCTGGGCTTGCCTGAGCTCTTCAGCAAGTAACAGCATCTTTTTTTTTTACAGGAGGAGCTGTGGAAGATTCAGGAGAAGCTGGAGTGCTGCTTTGGGTCTCTGGTGGGGTCCAATGTTTCCATCACTCCCCAGGGATCCCAGGGCCTTCCTCCTCACTATGATGATGTTGAGGTAGGACAGCACAACCTTGCCTGGGAAATTGTGCATGGGCTTTTGCTGATGGCAGTGTTTGCTGTTGTGTGTGTGCTTCTAACCCTCCCCCCCACTAAACATTATAGGAAAATGTTTTTTTTTTATTTGTGTTTCCTTGTAGTCATTTTTCTTGCATATTTTTGCTGAAAATTTACTAATAGTAATATCTAATCATAATATCATGTAAACTGGGTTTTCCAGACCTGGTATTTCCCTTAGATAAAAAGAGAAGTTTGTTTTCACAGCTGCAGAAGCTTTCTAGCACCTGTTTTTTCATTTTCATTCAGGCCCCAAGAATTTACAAGTCCTTTTTCCTTTACTAAGTACTTGCTCTTTCTTCAGCTGGACTGTAACAGCAGACTGGTTGTGCTTGTTGGTCCTGCTGTTTTTAAGAAGTTACTGATATGATGAATTCCTGTGGTCCAAATGCATTTTAAATCAACTTCTAAAAGAAACATACAAAGATACACTGCGTTATAAAGAAAAAATTGGACTATCCCACTTAAACCAAATCAAAAAATCCAATCCTTATATGTGTATTTTGCTTTTTAATGTTTTCATTTCCATTCAATACACCTGGAGTTTCATTTTCCTTATGCTTGTTATTCAGCAGCCTCACATCCAGCATTTCTAACTCATGCCATCTACCCCCACTGGGCACCCTATAGAGGTTTCTGATGCTCTGTTGGGGATAAGCCTCTTTCACCTGAAATTTTGGCTATTTGTGTGGCAGATGTTCCTTTTGGGTTAGTTCTCTAGCACTTACTGAAGTGACTGGAGAGAAACAGGGATTTCCAAATGCCTGCCTTAGGATAAAACAGCTCCCACTTCACAACTCCTCTGTCTGTTGTCTCTAAATAGAGACAAAAAAAATGAGTTCAAATTTAAATTTCTCTGAATTGTAGCTACCTAAAAATTAATGTGAAAGGAATTACTTCCTTATGGATTTGGATTGATGGTCTTTTGCAGGTGTTTATCCTTCAGCTGGAAGGCGAGAAACACTGGCGGCTCTATAAACCAACGGTGCCTTTAGCTGGGGAATATGATGTGGAATCAGAAGATAGGATTGGGAATCCCACACGTGAGTTCATATTGAAGGTATGAGAATTTCATTGCCTTAGGTGGTCTGGGCTGTGATTGCCAGACAAGTTAAAAGTGGTCCATTTCTTGAAGGCAGTGATTGTGGCTGTGAGACTGAGGGGAGGGTTTGCACACTGCGAGCACGAGAAATTTGGGTGATAGTTGTCTGTATCCTTTTTTAAAGGTATCCTTTGCTTCTAGTATTTAAATAATGGGCCAAAACCCCCAGTTATTTCTGTAAATTGACTAGTACTCTCCAGGTTGGGCACCCTGACTCCTAGGTCATGTTTGTGGAGTTGTGTGCAGAAAAAACACTGGGTTTGTGTATGGTTCTAAAACATTTTTATGCTTTTACATGCTGCCTGTAATCCCTCAGGCTAATCCTCCTGTGCACTGAGACTTACTGCTGCACTGAACATTGTCACTGTTCTGGTGAATGAGATTTAAATATTTATCCTTGGCTGATAAAGAAAAGCATGAACCAAACCCCATATAAACTTGCTGTATTAATTGCTCTTCCTTTTTCCAAACGTGAAATTCAAGTGTTTGGTTGGTGGTTGATTTTTGGAATAAAAGGAACATTTCATGAAGATTACTGAGTGTCAGCAGGGAATCTGGTGCTTGTCCTGTTCTGTTTGACCTGCTTTTGAAGTGTTACTTGTCCAGCTGGTGCTGCTGCTCCATGTTGGAATCCTCAGGAGTTTCTCTGCCTTTTGGCCTGTTATGGAGCCTCTCTCTGCTCTTCTCAGTGTCCAGAGCTGCATTTGGGTGTCGGTGTTTGAGGAATAGTGTGACATGTTGGATGGTGTAGGTGTTTTAGGAATAGTGTGACATGTTGGATGGTGTAGGTGTTTTAGGAACAGTGTGACACATTGGATGGGATGCTGACATCATGAGCTGTGTTGTTTGACAGAGGGGAATATTCAATCGTCATCGTGTACTGGGTGATGCAAAGTCTGGTAAACTACAGTTCCCTTTTTCATTTCTGGAATATTTTGGACCAGACTTCAGTGCCTTTCATTTTTATGGAATAATGATGGGCTTAAAAGTTATCCAAGTTTTTAATTTATTTTTCTTCTGTTTGCTGTTGTTCACTTCCTGTGACCCATTTCTTCTGGGTGGCTGCTGTCAAAGTTTGGTTGTCTCTTTGTGGCTGCCTCTGAGAGGGATGCTGTTGTTTGACTCTATTTCCTCCCTAAACATCTTTCTAGAATATTTCCTTTCTCCATCTTTCAAATGAAGAGAATTCAGAATACTCTTGGTTGGTGTAGTCCCCACTCTGGTAAGGAAGGCAGTTTTCTTTGGCTGTGCTGTCCAACTCTATAGGTGTTTACAGGACAAGCCATAAGTAAACTTTTATTTCCTTCTTGGAGGCAATTTTATGTGCTTTACACCTTTCTTGCCTTGACTTTCCTTATCTAGTTTTTTTTCCAGTGTGGAGTTTTAATTTACATAGGTGAGAAGAAAGATAGGGAGGAGGAGGAGGAAGGTCGTACCTGTTTTTTAAGTGCTTTAACTGAAAATCTCAGACAACAGTATTGTAACAGATTACCATTTTTATAGACTATTTGGCTTTTCTCGTGGAATACTAGCCTTTTCTTTTGATGTGATCTGACCAAATCCCCATTTCACTGCTCCTCTGCCAGCCCACTGTGTTGCCAGCAGGTCCATCTCAGCTGCTTCTTTGTCCTCTTCCTGCAGCTCAGTGGGAGTCTGTGTGTTCTGTGATGTTAAAAAGCTTGTTTCACGTTTTCAGCAAATATTGACAGCAGGTTGGAAAGTTTAAGGTTCTGAACTTCTGGCTTAGTGTTCTTTATGTTATTAAAGTGTACATTGCAGGACTGCTCCATTTTGTGATTCTAAAGGATATATATTGTCAGACTGTCTGCTCAGAGAGTATTTTCTCTGACTGCAGTAAGGTTTGACCTGGTGCCCTAAATATATCAATTTTCTTGCAGCCAGGTGACTTACTGTACTTCCCAAGAGGGACCATCCACCAAGCTGACACTCCTCTTGGGACCTCCCATTCCACACACGTGACCATCAGTACCTACCAAAACAAGTAATTATTCTTTATCTTTTGTTTTGTGTGGCTTTCCTCTGCCAAGTGATGTGTGTGAGTAGTACAGACCTGAGATGTGGTGAAGTTCTGGGGCTTGGGGGAAGGAGGGGAGCAAGAAGACTGTTGTTGTTTGAAGCAGCCTGTTTGAGAGGTTTTCATGCAGCAAGCTTGATTGCTTTTTAATTGCTTATTTTATTATTTACCAGCTGTAGGCTTTAATGTGGAAAATGCTACAACTGCAAACTCACTTCTGTATTTAAAAAAATCTCTCATCAGTGGCTGAAGTTACTGTTCATTTCATAGCTCAGATAAAGAGTCATGAGTTACTCCTTTCATCATTTTTCCTCCTGTATTTGATAGTCACCTGCACTAATCTTCTGACAGATTTGCTGCCAATTCTTCCTTGCAAACATTTTCTGCTTATCTGTGGTTTTTTTTATCTCCTACCCCATGTATGCAAGTCAGATTTCTTATGACACACTCCCAGTCCTTGTGCCCACACTGTTATCACACAGGGAAATGTTCTTGCCAACCTAATCAGCCTCCCAGATGCTGGGTTTGGAGCCATTGGTCTGAGTTAGGAATTAGGAAGGGCAGAACAAGTTTGGGCATATTCTAGATAACTGTGAGATGAATCTCTAACCACCAGCTGTGCCATTCTGGAAGCCAGGATGGGCTGGTAACTCTTCATCTGGCCACTCCTCCAACATGGAGAGAGGGTTAAGAGGAAGCTGCTCAAAGGTGTCAGTCTTCTGAAAAGTTGGGTTCAGATTATTTCAATTTACACACATGTTCTTTTATTCAGAAGGTAAAAAAAAACTAACCCCAAAAAACAGGAGAGGAAAAGGAAAAGCTGCTCTTCTTCCAAGGTTAAAAAGTGGAGTCATCCCCCGTTAAGGCTGTTGGTGATGAAGTGCTGACATCCTGCCTCTGCACCTCCTGTCAGCAAGGGCAGGGAAAACGAGCAGGAGTCCTGGTGCAGGCTGGTGTTCTGACTTGTAGATGGAAGCATTTCCTTGGCAAATTGAAGAGAAATCCTTGAAAGCAGCTGTGGAGGAAGTGCTGGTGGAGGTGGCACTTCCAGGTATTTTCAGGTTTGTCTGGGCCAGATCCCAGCAGGAGAGAAGTGTGCACATGTGGGATAAGCAGGGCAGTTTGGAAAAGCAGCCCCTTCAAAGCCCGGCTCCCCCCAGCTCCCTTTGGGGTGACCCCCCGCCCCTCGCGCTCCCTTTGGGGTCCCCCCGCTCTTTCCCCCCCGCCGCTTTCCCGCCGTGCCCGCCCCGCTCACCCGACAGGGCGGGACCGGCAGGGACGGGGCGGGGACGGGCCGAGCGCTGATTGGCTGCGGCGGGGGCTCGACAGGCGGGGCGTGCGCAGAGCGCCATGTTGTCTGCGGGGCAGCGGTAGCGGTGGAGGTGCGGCTGCGCTCGGAGAGCGCGATTCTGGGGATCCGCTCGGGGCTGCGGGGAGCGCGGGTGTGGGTGGAAAGGCTGGAGGGCTCGGGAGGGTTTAGCCGAGGGGTTCGGGGGTTCCCGAGGGTCAGAGCGCGGGGCCTGGAGCCCGCGCGGGGGAAGGGGGTGGGGCTGTCCCAGCGCCCTGGCTGCACTGCGCAGGCGCGCCGGCGTTACCCGCCGGCATTACCCGCGACCCGCCATTACCCCTCCCGTCACAGCGCCCCCTGCCGGCCCGGCGGACCGACCCCAGGGAAAGGGGATCCCAATGCCCCCCCCGAACCCCAGAGACCCCCAACACTCAGCACACAGAGACCCCAAAGGGAGGGGGGCCCGGGGGTCCCCTAAAGCCCAGCAGTGGGGTTCAGGGGATCTCCCAGCCCCCAGGGGAGGAGTCCTGGGGGTGCCCCCCAAAGTCCGGGGGGGAGATGTACCGCATCTGGGTTTAGGGGATCCCAGTGCCCCTCAGTACGGCCCAGTAACCCCCTCAGTGACCAGCCAGTGTGTCCCAGTGACCTCCCACTGCCCCCCAGTATGGCCCAGTGATGTTCCAGTGAGCACCCAGTAACCCCCAGTATGGCCCAGTAACCTGCCAGTGTCTCTCCCTGTGTCCTGATAATCCCCCAGTAACTCCCCAGTCCCTCCCAGTGCCCTTCCAGGATCCCTCAGTAACCCTCTAGTCCCTCCCAGTGCCCTCTGGTTCCCCCCAGTGTGTCCCAGTATCCTCCAATAATCACCCAGTGCCCTGCAAAGCCCCCCAACTGTCCCCAACGTGTCCCCAGATGCCCTTGGCCTTTCTATGAGCGTGTGGGGGGGCATTTTTGGGGTCAGAGGGTCCAGGGGGGGCTCTTGGGGTGAGATGGAGGGTTGGGGACATCAGGCATGGCGCTTGGGGCCAGTGGAATTGGGGGTGTCAAGGGGGGAATAATGGCAATGGGGAGGCCCTGGGGACACTGGAGACACCAGGGTTGTCTTGGAGTGTCAGGGGGGGAATTAGGAACACCAAGAGGGTCTTGGGGACACCGGGGAGGTCTCAGGACTCAGCTGCTCTTGGTGCAGCCCCTCATCTCCCCCCCCAGACCTCTTTAACCTCCCCATATGTCCCTTAACCTTCATTTTCCCTTTAGTCCCCTCCCCCCACAGATCCCTTTGATGCCCCAATGCCCCCAAAACCTGTTTTAACTCTCCCAAATACACCCAAAGACCCCTAAACCCCCCAAATTCCACATCCAAACCCCCAGATCCCTTCAGATCTCCCCCAGCCCCCCCCTCAAATCCATTCCAACCTCCCCAAAGAGGGGGGCACCCTGGCACCCTGGGACAGGAACACAGTGGGCTGTACTGGGGGCACTGGGCTGTACTGGGAGGGCACTGGGGGGGCTCAGGTGTCCCAGGACAACGTGGCCCAGCTCCAGGAGAGATCCAGGGAGCAGTGAGGAGGTACTGGTCTGTCCTGGTCTGTACTGGTCTGTCCTGGTTTGTACCCCCAATCCCCAAAGCCCCTCCCCAGC